GAATCATTTAAATTGTCAGTTTTCAGCTTTACAAATAAAAGAATTTCTTTCTATAATGCCTGTCCTTGTGATAAGATTAGATGTTTTCCATGCCTGTGTTTAGTGAACAGTAGACGAAATAAATGGAAGATAAACACGTTAAGAAAAAGATTCTAGTATCAGAACTAAAACATTCAAATATGTTTTCATTGCTCTTCCAGACCTTCTCCAAAAAGTAAGAAATACATTGCAAACTTTCTGCTCAATACTTTCATTATGTGTTAATACCATGGAGACATTTTTCTGTAATCCTCTAGAATCATGAGTCTATAAATCTTGCCTTCATATCCTCCTAAACCTTTCAAGCTGCAATGTCTAAAATCCTAAAGAAAAATTATTCTGTAACAGTAAAAAGCCAGAAATATTTTGAGAAAAAATATCAGAGGGTAAAAGTGTAAAATTAAATTTATAAAGAAAACTGATGCATATTCTGAGAATTCTGAATATTTTGAGACAATTACATGGGCAAAACTCTTATAATAAAAAAATTTAAAAAGGCATTTTAAATTATTTACATAGCAATTTTATTTTTGCTAAAAATTTTGTTAATTGTGCTTTAGACCTTGTTTATTTTGCAGATTCAAAATATTGTACAATTAAGTAGCCAAAATAGAGCTTTGTAATATGACAGCGAAAATTAAAAATGTTTTATTTTAATGTTATTTTTTAAACACAATTTCAATATTTTAAAGAAATTTATCAACATTACAATGTTTAAAAAAAAATCGTCGAAAAATTCCCATATCTCAAAATTAAAAATTTTTTACAGAAGCTGATCTTAAAATCGCCAAAATGTTGATAAGTCGCCGAATTCAGAACTACTTAATAAAAGAATTCACATCCCCAAAAGCAAAAAGTTGTTTAAGAGCTCTTCATTAAAAAAATTAATTTCAAAATGCTTATGTTTCACTTCTTGCTTAGAAATGCAAGTATCAGTATCCCATCATTTATATTAGTAATAGAAGCAAATTATAACCCATGAACCCATTCAAAAGATAACCATATATGTCAGCTAATCACCACAAATATTTCTCAAAAATGCTAAATACACACAAAATGGCAGTCGTAAAAAGACGGAAATTTCAGATGATTAAAATTGAGGATCTTCTGCTGATTTTGACCAAAATTAGGGACTTAAGGGCCAAAAATCGATTCCAAAATACTTAAGGACTTTTAAGGACCATACGACCCCTGGGAACATCTAGAAGAATATTTTCAGCAACTGTAATAAATAAAAATAAAATAAGTTAACCATGAAATTTCTTGAAGAATGAGACTCATTTTGACAAAGAAAAATTAAAAAATTCATGAATGACAGATTTTATCATTTCTTAAGAATACATTACTTTAACTAAATTTGCTAAAAGAACCAATAATAATAAATATTTCCCTCACTTTTCCTATGTGTAAGAATATTTTTCCTGTGTGTAAAAATAATAGTAATAAATATTTCTCTCGCTTTTTCTGTGTGTGATCGCTTGGTGGCTAGTTGTCACTCAGCTGAACCACAGATCTGAGGTTTGATCCCCAGGCTGGGCGAGGCTGATTCAGCCTTTCATCCCTTGAGCAGGTTGATAAAATTAGTACCAAGTTCACTTGCGGACTAAACACCGGGAGGCCTGTGACAAGCTGACTACTTGCCCAGGGCATATGCTGATGCACTCCGGGGCCCAAGGTCAAGAGAGCATATTTTGGGGCACTGCAGGCCGTGGCCCACTAGGGCTGCTGTGCCATTTAGTAGTTACTTGTGTGTAAGAGTATGTCACTTTATTTAAACTTTATGTAACCGTGTCACTTCTACTACCATAGCTAGACTGAGGACAAAATATTTTAAAGGAATGAAGATATCCCCTGATGGCCAGAGAAACTGTAATAGCTGTCCTCACTGTACTCATATCCAACTTTCTCCAGACCATCTGCTATTTTGGCCAAGCTCCTCTATATAGATAAAGCTCCCTCGTACCAGCTCCTCTATTCTTCAAAGATTATTGGGCAGATTTTGGATAATCGGCTATTGGCAAACGGGCTGTTGTTTCCTAATTCACGAATTCTAAAAGGTCGAAGAATCTATTTGGGAGAACTTTCGATTTCGATATTCAATTCAAACTTGAATCATAACTCAAAATTAGTCTTTATTTACACACATCTTTTATATTACAGTATTTACATGGTTCAAGATTAATTTTAAATCAGAAGATAGAGATTATCTCCCCTTTGAATCAAATTCTATTAAGAGAAGTAGAGCAACCCACAGCTCATTTCAAAGTTTGTTTTTCGACTCAATATTGCCACAGGCAGAAGCAAAACTTTTACTTATTTCATGTTCGAGTTGTAACACGGGCCCTGGTGACTGGTGGGGCTGATCACCGCCAATCCCGGCTACCAACAATAACAGCAACAAGGAAATTTAGTGCTTGGCTGCTAAATCTGCCTCAGTTAAAAGGAAAACAAACACACAAAAGGAAACCTATGAAAAGAAAACTATTACACAAAAGGGGAAAACTATAAAAATGTTCATATAGTCAAGCCTTTTCATCAGGATTCAAACTCCTAATATTCAACGGCGTTCTTTACTCAGCCGCTGGCAGGCATATTGATCATAGATATCATCAAATTAAATGTGATCCAACTGAAGTCCTCTGTTTTAGATATGAGTAATTTGCTTTACACACAAAAAATTAATCACAAGTATGGCAAATATTGCAAAACATTAAAAAACGTTTTTAACAAAATTTCTTCTGCACATGACAGATTTTATTTAATAAAATAATTAAATGAGTTTCAGTTATATGGTGCGTTTTCACACACTATTTCAACTCTTAATCCTCCCTGCAGCAAAATTTGATATCCTGAATTTCACAAAAAGCATGAGAAAGAGACATTTAATTAATTATAATTCAAAATGATCTTGTTATGTTGAACTTAGGACTTTTGGGCACATTTTAAGATACATAAAAAAATGTACTTACGCAAGGATAATAAGACAAATATGGCTCTATAATGGTTTAGCCTCTGAGACGTTAATAAGGTTAGAGTAAACTAAAGGGTACCCCTTGCATCATTGCAAAGTTGTTTCATTTATCGCCAAGTTGTTGTTTCGTTTATCGCCAGTTGTTTCATTTGTGGTAACCTGAGTAGTTGAATGTTAAAACCTATTATGATGTAACGGGTAGCAAGATTGTGGTAAATTTTGTGGTCAGTACATGGCATGTTTTGTAAGGGCTTATAGTGCACGTCGGTAAGGAAGTACACTGCTTGTTTTGTTGTTTAGATGGTTGAATGGCTGAATATAGTAAGATTAATTTGAAGTTTCTGCATGATTTGAAACGAAAGGAGAAAAGAGGATTAATTGACTGGTGTGTAAACGAAGGTTTACTTAGTAGCCATTTTCCAGATAGTCCAGAACTACGGAGGATATTTTTTAAATTTATGTGGCGATGACAATATATAGATTCGAGTTCAGATAATTTTAGTACGTTTTTGGATGCTGTTAAGGAATTTTGTATGCCACAGACTGAAGACAAGGAAATTTCTAAATAAGGTAAGTTGATATTTCCTTTTTGTAGTGCTTAGACGCATAACAGGTTTTCCCTTTTTTATGTTAACTTATTGTTTGCTTTAAAATGTAGTTTACTGAGATTATATATTTTTTGTTTGCCTCTATAACTGGGTGTTTTGAACTTGTTTGCCTCCGACTTTTTAACCTTTTGAAGACAAAATGGCCATTACAGTGGCCATAGAGTCCTCTTTTTGAAAAGACGGGGTTGTCCACTTTAGCAGCCATGTCTTTTTTCCCCCATTTTCCAGGCTGAAAAGTGAGGTGAAATGTCAAATGTGACGTCCCTGGGGTTTATCTCTTTCAAAGGTCTTCCTTTTGCGACATAGATGCACCCCTCTGAGAATCCAATAAACTACACACAAGAATCTTTGTTGCAAATAGGAGGTGATTTCTTAAAGGGGGAAAGCATTCGGTTCAAGATTCCCCGTCCTTTGGTAGCTTTTACTGCTATCAAAGCCCTGGCCTCAAAAGGTTAAGTGAAAACATATTGATGTGCACATGGACAAAGTCAAGGGAGTGTGCAATGCCAAGTTTGTGCAATTCTCTGATGTTTTTTTAAGAGAAAATAGGTCGACATGTACATGGATAAAGTTAAGGGAGTGTGTAATGCCAAGTTTGTGCAATTCTGTGATTTTTTTTTAAAGTGAAAATAGGCTAATGTGTACATGTATACTGAATTTGTGCAATTCTTTTGACTTGCTATTTTGTCTTTGTGTATCGGCAATTTTGGAGCTAAAATCGCGGCTACACAAAGCCAAAATAACATGTCAAAGAATTGCACAAACTCAGTATCCATGTTCCACCAATGGGTACCCGTAAATATACTTTTATCGTTAATAATAACATCTGAAAGGAAGATTTAAAAAGAAAAAAAAATTAACTGCAATCTGAATTGTAAAATTTTGTTTGAAAAGACAGGAAACTTTTTCTCCTGCCCCCCGGATTCTTGAAATGATCAAAGCTACCAAAAATAATTCTTTCTACCTAAATGTTAAACCTGATTTGTAAAAGAAATCTGCCTTCATTTGACAAAAAAAAAAAAAAAAAAAAAGCATAAATTTAGAATGTGAAATTGTTTAATGTCGCATATAAAAACCTAATCTAAAACTTAAAAAAAGAAAGGAAAAAAAAAAAAAAAACATAAATGAAAACAACATTCTTAGAAGATACTGTCTTGGTATGTTTTTATTTATTCGTTAAACAGGGATTTAACAGTTTACGTATTTTGAATAATTTATTCCAGAGTAAAAACATTAACAGCATTATATACAAATAATAGCTGTTAAACTAGTAATGTATATGAAGTAATAAAGCCTAGTTCCATGCTTTAATTACAAAAATGTTTTTCGTGTTTAGTAAAATTCTACACACCACAACGTAATATATACAAATTTTAACCTACCCCAAGTCGTCCAATGAATCTAAAATATCAAAATCCATACTGATGATTTAATTTCGGTTTATGCAAGAAAAAAATGTATAATACCGCAACCAAGAACTACCATTAATATCATTCGAATATTCCTCACGCGGTAATTTGCTTTCCCTTTCGCAATGTTTGTATCAGATTTAACAGTCGCCAACAGTTCGTCGTTTTCAAGATAGAACTACGAAATCTCCAATATAACAGAACCAAAGAAGGGCTAGTTCATAGAGCTTTTCCCTCTGAAACAGGAAGTGAGGTGTAATGACATATCCATGTTGACACTGATTGTAAAGACGCAATTCGCAAGAGAACGATGTTATTACTGTGAGCACTTATGACGTTTAAAAAGTTAATAATACTTGTTTATTAATTAAAAAACACTAGATAAATTACGCTATGTTTTCTTAAAAGTTGCAGGCTTTTCTCTCCGTGCATTTATTATTAAATTACAAAGAAAAAAGCTACGGCATTCAGCCTCGTTTCTTCATCTGCATAGTAAGTGGGAGAATTATATTATAATTTCTAAGATAATTGATGATTTCTAAGATAATAGCTTTTTAAAGTGAGGGAAGAAAATTAGTTTGGCATAGTTTTGAATTTATATGTCAATTTTTTTTTCTGCAGCTGAAGAAGAGGAACTTATGTTTGACTGCCCTTGAAATCGATAGTTAGACTGCTATTTCGACCTAATTGCAAATTTTACTTTGGCGTGTTTCTCCTCCAATTTGATATAATACATTACATACTCACATATATACACATACATTACATTTAAATAAATACAAGATCGTTGTCTTAAGTTTGAGGAAAGAACTTTGCTCACAGTATCTAAAGAGAATTACTTAATCTTTCAAAAGAGGGGCAAAGGAGGAAAGTTTTTTTTTTATGCAAAATTACTTTGACGTTTTATACGATTATAAATTACCTAAAAGGCTGAGCTAGCTTTGTTTTTTTTTATAAATTATTAATGCATTCTTGTCTATTTTTGCAATGAAGGGATTCAGCAATACTTGCATCGTCATTTGTGAGTTTCATTTTGAAGATATTTGTTATCTGATTTATCATTCATATATATCGTTTTCATAATCGGCCTCAAAGTGAATTTTCTTCACATTTAATTCGTAGAGTCTTTCAAAAACATTCTACATTATTTTTCTTTTTTTTTTGGCACAGTATTGAATTTTAAAAGCTTCTGTTGCGGTAATCCAAGCAAGTGATTTTTCGTGTCATCTTCACAACCATGCATAGAAAATGTTCAGTGACAAATATTGCTATTCTTCACATTCATAAAATCCTGTTTAGGACACATGCATCCATTTTTTTCGCAAAAAGCAAGTAGTCCTTTGGAAAAATACGATGTAAAATATCATTACTTCACTCATTTCCATGAATTTATTATGGCACTTTGCTACAATGCATGAAGACATATTGCATAAACTATACTTTGCAGCAGTGGTCTCGAACTTACAGCGCACACGGGCGAATGCACAATTTAAAAGTAGCTTACGGGCAGCAATTACAAATAAAATAAAGAAAGAAAGCTTGCAAATAACTTTCTTCAGCTCACATTATACAGGGATAAGTGAAATTGATTTAATGTGATGTATATATGCATATATGTCTTAATTTCGAAGCACAGTCGCGATGGCTGAGTGGCACGGCGAGAAGGAATTGATACCAAACTAGATTTAGCCAATTAACATCTTTATTTGCAGATTTGCAGGCACACTAGAATAATTCCTTGTAGACAATATACTCTTTAATCATAGCAATTACGATAATTTCTTAAATGCACAGGTAAAAAGATGCGAAGTCATTTCAGGTAGGGAATTGGCCCATTAGGGCTGTTTGCGCTACTGAGTTTAGTTTAGTTATCATATGCGTCATTATGACATTAGTCCGGGTTATCATGAAGAATTTCCCCGCTACTTTTAAAGAAGATGCCATATTCCGAGACCTGAAGTTCAGGAACTATCTTATTGAAAAAGTTAAGCAGTTTTCCAAAAGTCCCGAAGGACCAAAAATTAGTCTTCTCATCTACCTCCTGGAACTCAAGAGAACCCTCGAAGGAAATGAGATCCACCAGCTCAATAATATGTTCAGTTTCAACATCGCCATAGAAAAATTCAACCTCAAGAAAAGACCAGTCGAATGCTATCGCTGCAAGCAGTTCGGAACCTCTCAATACTGTTGCAGTAATCCAGTGAAATGCGTAAAGTGTGGGCAACAACATCAAAGTAACGAATGAACCATGAAACCCGAATATAATCTAAATGCTTATTTTGCGGACTCTGCCATGTGAGCAGCTACAGAGGCTGCCGCGAATATAAAAAAAGGGTTGAAAGGAAAAGCAACCCACCCCAGCCTAAAGCTCCTGAACTCTCCGAAGAAAACTTTCCCAGTTCAAAGACAGCCTCAAGCCCAGCGAAGATAAACCCCCTTCAAGCTACGTACAGCGAGAAATTGCAAGGAAAAATCACCCCTCCACCGAAAGATCTAAACGATGCTCTTAATTGGATTCAAGACGAAAAAATTAACACATTCCTAACTTCCATCATATCATGTATCGGCAAAATCAGAGCAGCAAAGAATTCAGCAGAAAAGCTACAAACAGAATTTCAAGCAGCTATGCTACTTATAAAATTCGCAGAATCAGAATATTAGAAAAGATTTAGAAACGCCTTCCATGACTAACCAATAGGAAAGCAGGAAATCCTCACAACTATTTTCTGGACTTAATTTTCTCTATTTCTTATGCAGTCTACCTTCTTCTCCTGAGGTGGTATACGCAAGGCTCTTACCATCGCAACATCTTGTGGGAATTTTTTTTAGAATCCTCAACCAACACTACTTATGTTATGGTAGGAAAGCTAAGTCATTTCGCCATGCGTTACATACAGGATGAGTCTTTTAGCCTAGGCGCCTGTTCTCCACGTGCTTCGCACATGAGCCTTCAGTTAGGGAAGCATAAATGGCGCAGAGTTGTTTGCACGGCAGAAGTCAGGAAAAAAAGGAAGCGTAGTACTCGTGATTCAGTATTTATACTTCGTGGGTGCAGAAATTATTCTAAGCTATGACTGGTCAATTTTAGTTTTAGTTGCCTTTTTCAAGCAGTGTTGTGTAATTTGGAATGTTATCGAATTTGGGAAAACAGATGAGTTTGGGAGGGATCGCACCAAATTTGGAATGTTAATTTTGAGGTCGCCAATTATTTTTTGAAGCAGCCATTGTATTTTGTTTTATTTTATATATACCGTATTTGACGGTATATAAGACGCACTGGCATATAAGACGCATCCTTATTTAGAAGACTACACAAAAGAAAAAAAAAGTTTCAATAGTCCGCGCGATGGCGCGGTACCACAATAACTTAAAATGTGGTTTCTTTAGTTCTCACGTTTCGTAAAAGCCAAATAAACAATCATTCAATGCAATTACCAATCATATTTTTATTAAGGAAAATTAACAAACAGCAAGCTGTTTTTGAACATGATATGTAAATTTCAATAATGAATAAATGAATGAACGGCAAGCAATCAAACATAATACAAAATAAAGCAGAAACAACAAAAAACACAGATTCAAGGAAAACGTTACCTATCATGAAATTAGACTTTAATCACTTGCAAAACCATAAAAATCCTTTTCACTATCATCATCATCGAAAACGAGAATATCGGCATTCGATATTCTCGTTATATCGTTTCCGTCTTCGCTAGTATCACCTTCTTCGAATAATGCGTCGTCTTCTGTTCCGTCAAGAGTGTTACTGATTCCGCACGTCTTAAAGGACTTAACAATTACTTCAGCCTTTACGTCCTCCCAAGATCTTTTTACCCACTCTCACACTTGTGAAATAGAGCGCCACTTCATTCTACCTGAGGGTGTGAGGGCGTGATGTGGCTCTCCTATCCATTTGTTCCTTAAACTTTTGAAGACGGGATGGCCATTATAGTGGCCATAGAGTCCTCTCTTTGAAAAGACGGTGTTATCCACTTTAGTGGCCATGTCATTTTCCCCCCATTTTCCAGGCTGAAAAGTGGAGTGAAATGTCAAACTTGACGTCCCTGGGGTTTTAACCACTTATCTCTTTCAAAGGTCTTCCTTTTGTGACATAGATGCACCCCTCTGAGAATCCATTAAACTACACACAAGAATCTTTGTTGCACATAGGAGGTGATTTCTTAAAGGGGGAAAGCATTTGGTTCAAGATTCCCTGTCCTTTGGTAGCTTTTACTGCTAGCAAAGCAACGGCCTCAAAAGGTTAAATGGTTTATTCACTGATACATCTAAAGGCTGCAATTGGCTAGTCAGTCCACCAGGAATGACAGCTGTCTGGGTTTTTAATTCTATCGCTTTACTCTTTATGGTTTCAGTTCTATGGGCGCTAAACTGATCCAAAATCAAAAGAGAGGGTCTTCTTAAGAGTCCACCAGGTCGCCTCGCCCATACGTTCTGTAATCACAGTTTCATTCCAGCTTCGTCCATCCAGCCTTTCGGATGAACATGAACAATTACACCCATTGGAAGTTTTTCTTTCGGATGAGTTTTTCTTTTGAATCGTTAGTTTTGTGCGATCAGCACAACATGTTAGAACTACCGTATATCGGATTTTTTCATGAGCTGTGGTTTTTATGGTTATTGATTTAGACCCTTTAATACTCACAGTCTTGTTGGATGGTACATCAAATGTGAGTGGAATTTCATCTATATTTCGGTATTTGACCGAGCTCAAAAGAAGTTTTCTTGCGCGCATTTTTAACAAACCTATGAAATGCTAGTATTTTTTCTTCATAATCTGCTGGCATTTTCTGTGCAATAGTTGTTTTTGTGCGCATTGATAAGCCTTGCCTTTTTATGAAACTGTAGCACTAGCCCTCAGACCATGAAAAATTCTGATTCCCTTGTTTTTCTGCAAATCCTTTGGCTTCATTGATTATCATTTTAGTTGAAACACTTATCCCAGATTTCCTCTTACGTATCCCCCACATTTTTACGGCATTTTCAAGTTCAAGCCAAGATGGAGCTGGGCATCGAAGGTTATGTTTTTGTTTTTTAGCAGTCTTCAGTTGATCTTCCTGCAGTCGCCAAGTACGTATAATTTTTTCGGTAGGAGGCGGAACGAAATGCCTTGCTGCTGCTCTGTTTCTATGCACTTTGGCGTAGTTTAACA